TCAACCTATTATACCAAATTTGTACCAAATTTAAGCCATTCTATAACAATATTCAAGAAAAGGGCAGAAAAATTGTAATAGAAAACAACCCAGCCACCAGTCACCTATTTTGAATCAAATCATGAAACAAAATGATGTGCGGTAAAGACAAGCCAGAGAAACGGTTGATGACTTGATAAAATGTTGATTTTTGGGACATAAATGTTGACAAGTCAGTCAACCAAATAAAATGTGCCTATTTATACCCTTAGGACTTGTCTTTAGACCTACTTTGAATAAAATCTGTCCAGGCTGTTTGACATATGACAGTGGACTAACGAACGAAGGGTCGGAACCCAAAATATTAGTCCCTGTATTGAAGTTCGTCTGACGAGGACTAATAGTCTATTTGCCCTCTCTATTACAGAAGTACTTCTGATAGAGAACATACGGTATATACGGTATTGCAAGGTGTAGCTCACTGGCAAGAAGTCTCACAACCACTCCAATCTCTCCAAAAATCTTGTTTAAGGTTACATCGCCATCAGTCGGTTTCCATTTGGGTTTATGTATAGCTCACTCAGTTTATTCGCTGGTTGCCATGGTTGGCGGCGTTTTGATAAGCTATAGAATAATTACGCTGAGAAATAAAATTCCCCACGTCAACATCAACATCAACAACATTGAACGTGTTTCACGATACTGACATCGTGTTTAAACACACATAGCACAAAATGTTTACCTTTACCATTATTACCACAAGCAGGATATAGATTAATAAGATTCTGTTGAGAATACTGCAAAGTATGTGCTCAGGCAGTACAGGATAGCATTGGCGTTTCTTTGCATATAATTTGCGTTATTCTCGATATATAACTTCATAGTGTCAAATCAAAATTGGCATTATTACTTTTTTGAACATTATTAAATCAAGTTTCACAAATTAAACATAAATAAAGATAATTAATACTTTTTTACCAATGATATCCTATTAATCCTCATGGTCCTGGTTATGGATGAACAAAAAACGCTATTGCACATGCAATGTTGAAAAAATACAAAACAATATTTAAATTACAATATATGTAAATACAGATAATGCAAATAAATATAATTTATGCAAATAATATGCAACATTTATGCAAATAATATGCAAATATAAGCAACATTTATGCAAATAATATGCAAATATAAGCAACATTTAAGCTAATAATATGCATAATAATAATACTAGTCATAATTTTTGACAAAATTGGTCATAAATCGCATGACAATGTTCATTATGTACAATCATAAAGCTAATGTCTCATGGTACAATGAAATAGCATTATTTTGTGTGTTACAGTTTTTTGAGAAATGTGTTCTAATATTTCTTGAAAATTGCTATTTTTAGAACAATTCCATAGAACACAACTTTTTAAAACACAGATTTTTTAAATAATTCAGAACCACAAAAAGTACATTTTGTCGAAAAAAAGGCTGGTTACCCCCAACTTTTTTTAGGTCAATATCCTTGTATTGTCTTGGAGTACAGTTTGTTGCAAAATGAATAAATTCTGGTTATTTTAATTTATGAGTAGGCTTCTACCTTAATGCATACTGTGCGCATATGCAAACAAGCAGCCTCTCGGCTGAGATAGCTCCGCTGTTAGCAATACACATTTCAATTAAAGAACAGAAGATATCATTAGAAAATGAACAATAGGTATAGTATCAAAGCAATCGGACTTGCAGTTTTCAACAAGAATTCGAAAATATTACTTTTTACAAAAAAAATACAAAAATAATCATTAAAATTAGAGAATTGAAGATATCATCATCAAATGAACAAATCTGAGAGAGGTATACCTGTAGTACCTTTATATATATATACA